ATTCCTTCTCTGCCATCCATTGATGGAGATCCCTTTCTTAGAACTTGATTGGCGGTCAGGTGCTGCTGTGCCGCACCTCCTAGTAACAAGCCTGCCCCCCCAAATGCCCCGACCAGTGACTACAGTACAAGGGGGAAGTGAAAGAGGACTATGGGGAGAACATATAACCTAACTGTACATCTATAAAACTTCTCTTTACTTACACATAATATTCATCTCTTAATTGTGAAAGCTAACCATTGTATTGCTTATTTATAACACAAGTGAGATCCAGAACTGAAACAAACAGCAAGAGTTAGCAAAACAAAAGGATAGAGAGAAATAAAAGGAAGGAGGAAAGAGATAGGAATGGAGGAACACACTGCAGTAAACAGAGGTACAGAGAGGAAAAAAATGCCAAAGAACAGGCCAGATAAATTGTGAAGAGAAAAGAGGCAGATTCACCTCAGAACAAATCAATGGAGAAGAAAAAAACAGCTGTGAGCTGCAGAAGAGAGACAGAGGATAAAAAAAGGGAGACAGAACTGGTGAGGGACAGAAGCACAGAGAGAAAAAGGAAAGGGTGTGGTAGCGTGATAGATGAGTAATGCGATGATTGACTCTCACAATTAATAGACAAATATCATGTATATAGGTTAACAAAAGTTTTATTGATTTTTTGTTATGTTTTACCCGCTCATATTGTTACCAAGGGACAGCTGGGTTGGGACATCTGGGAGGGCTGGCTTGTCACTATGGGGACATCTGACTTCCAATCAGGATTTGAGGAAGAGATCTCCACCACTGGACAGCAAAGAAGGGGATGATGGACAGAACTTTGGGAGGGGTTAAAGGGTTAAAAAGGGGAAACCTCCATTGTGAGGGAGACTGAGCACATGGTGGGGGAAATCTTTTCCTCCCAGCACCACAACCTTTTTTCTCTATTCAGTCTTCTGTTGTATTTTTGATAAGGTTTAATGAACCTTCCTAAACTATGAAAAGTGAGTAGCTATTTCTCACAGGTAGGAAGAGGGAGCAAGACAAATAAGAGACAAAAGGACAGGTATAGGGAAGCAAAATAAAATAGTCACAGCAGCATGTGAAAAAAAGCGGGTCAGGAGAGAAGCAAAGAGGCCTTGAGACACACAAGACAGGAGACAGGGCCCAAGGGACCTTAGACTTACCTCAGCTGTGATTCTTGGATGATTCTTGGCACTGCCGGGAAAATTTACCAGTTTGGATGCATCTTTCCCCTTCTCACCCAGTGAGGCAGGCTTTCACTTGTCTGCAGAGACCTGCCGGATGGCCTCCAATTTTTATTTGTCTTTTTTATGGCCTCTCCAGTCTCTGCCACAGCAGCTCCTCTCTGAGCCAGTAAGTGCTCATCCTGTCCCTCTTCAACCTACAGCCTGGAGGGAGTAAGGCTGGTACTAAGGTTGGAAATTATATACAGTTTCAGTTTTTCATGTAAAATTTTGAAATTCTAATGTAACTTTAGTCAGTTTAGCTCGCCGTTGCCCCAGGAGAAGAGAATTGAAGTTTTTCAGGGGACTGGTTCACCAGGTGAGGTCTGATGAGCTTAAACTCAAGGGACTGGAAGTAGCTCAGAAGATACACAAAAGGAAATAACCATTAACAACCATCAACATCAGACAACACTCCTGACATGATCAGACACTCCACTCCTGCTCTGAGAAAACAGAGATAAGAATGAAAACCTAATTAGCATTGAAGGTGAAGAAATCCGTATCCAACAGGAAACCAAATATTAAGAACTGTGCAACTTGGAAATAATTAAGATTGAACCAACTAATTTCTATGGGTTTTGACTGTATAAAATACGTGAAAAATCGAGTAAAGAGCTGAGTCATTGAATTATTTTCTCTGCACAATCTGGGCAATGTGTGGATGAAATTATTTCTGTTGCACATCCTGGCCAGAACAACATTCTGGCCAGAATAAAGTAATGCCTTGATTCTCTAACACTAAAAACTTTGAGGTGCTGTTTTTGTTTTTCCTGCAGTTTCAGTGACACCAATGTGAAAAGTCTGTTCACTCTCCTGTGAAAATTTAAAAAGTTTAATAAAGGACCAAAGGAGACAAGGACTGCAGAGCAAAGGTTTTTATGGCCGGGTGCATCTTGGCACTCAGCCAAGACCACGCCTGCTAGTTTGGAAACACCCTTTATATACTATTCTATTACATCAGCCTGTTACATATTCACAGGCCCTTATGCATAGTCAACTTTTTCCCCAAACTAGTTTAAATGTTCCAAGAACTGTTCAGCATGGTTCCTCCTCAGTTCCACCTTTTTAGAGCATGTGCATTCCTTGGTTGGGGTTTTAATCCATTCTTATCATCTCCTGTTTTGGGCCTTGATCCACATTGCCTTCAGACAGTAAGTGCTGATAGTTGGCAGATCTGTACAAGTGTCCTCATCCTGTGTTCATTGGATGCTATTTCATCCAAGCAGGCATTTTAACACCAGCACACTTATATCAGCTATTTCACTAAGCGTAATTAACAACAGAAATAAAAACAATATCTTTGTTAGAAAGTCACTTTAACATCCCACATATAAATCCATTTTAATATTTGTGAAAAGCCACTATTATAATATGTATCTATAACACTAACGACCCAAACAAGCCCCAGGCGGGTGCAGTCACTGGCATCATTGCCTGGGGATGCTTCGGGGAAGAATGGACATGCAGACGCTCAGCTGCGGCCTCTGGCAGAGGGAAAGAAGCAGCAGCGACTGTTATTACCGTAGATACCTTGCACGAATCCCTCCTTCTGCAGGGGCTTCTGGGGGACACCTCGACGGCCAACCTGCCGCGTGGGGTGGCTAGCGGACACAGGGCAGGTTTCAGGGGCGATGCTGGAGCAGAGGCAGTGGCACAAGGCGAACAGGGGCGGTCGAGAGGCTCAGGGGAGCTCTGGCCACATGGAGAGACACCCAGCTCTGGCCTCGAGATGTGGCCGCCCCCGCCCGGGCCGGCAGACGCGGCGGTGGGCTGCAGCTTCTTCCCTGCCATCCGCGGCGGCCCCGAGGCGGCTCTTCCTCACTTGCTGTGGCTTTCTGTCATCTCACCGCTGCCGCGACCTCATCCCTCTTCTGCCGCTGCCACCGCCCGGCCCCACGCCCAGTGCTCTGCCACGCCGCTCCCAAATACCCGCGCGGGCACCAGGCCCGGCGGCCGCGAGGGGCACTCAAACGTTGGGCGGCGGCAGCGCTCCGACAGTACCGGCGCCGCAGTTCCGCGCTTTGCACTCCTAGCGGCGCCGACATCGCGCCCGTGGGACGGCAGCGGAGCGTGCTTACCCACAGGCGGCTCCCAGCCCGGTCCCGCACACGCGGGTTTCGCGGGGTACTTGCAGTGCGGCAGTTTGGCCAGGGGGCGGCAGCAGGGAGAAACCCCCTTTTGCGGTCAACGCGCATTCGCGCCTTTCTTGGCTGCAGGAGCAGCTACTGACCGCACGGTGGCGCCTCGGCAGGGCCGCCTTGGGGGCACTGAGAGAGGGAGGACACATCCGAGGAGCGGGGAAAGGACACGGAGGGAGGCGGGGAGATGCACGAGAAACACAGAGAGATGACATACACACCAGATCCACCCGCGATAATGCTCAGCAGACAGTTCATTTGGGATAACCCACACGAAGCAACCTCATGCGGCTAACTGACCAGCACTGGATAATCCATTGCAATACCCACCCCCAAAACTGCACACACTTCACCTCAAATTTTCCCACCTGTCGTTTTCATTGCCATTTTGGAATTTTTTGCTAGTATAACAACTGGGTTTTTCTTTCCTAAATATTCAATTTGGCTATTTTTTAAAGCTTTTTCACAACATAAAAACTAAGTGACATTTGCTTTTGGCTCTGTGCATGAAAATGTGGGTATTTTCCCCACATTTCTAGCTGCTCACATCTGTGCATCACAGGACAGCCCAAGCACCAAGCCCACGGCCAGCACCATGAAAGACCCTGGAGATGCTGCTGCTCTGAGCCTGTGCAGCATCCAGAGGGAGCAGCACAGCAACACTGAGGGAACATGGGCAGTGCCACAAGCATTCGGCTTTCCTGAGAGCATAACATCAGAATACAGCTAGCTGCAGACACTTCATGAGGCTAAATTACATTTCACCATGGACACCTGATGAAGCTGATAAAAGATGCCAATTTTGCAATCATGCGCATCTGTGCCCCATCCATCTTGGAAGACGGGCGCTCACAAGGCTGACGCAAGCAGGCAGAGTGGGAGAGGCCCCAGGACTCCTCTTCCCCAGGCTGAGCAGAGCAGAGGTTGTGCCCTCAGCCTCTTCTATGCCTCCATCACTCCAGCTTTTCCTCTGGCATTGCTCCAGTGCCCATCCTTGCCTGGACTTGATGGCACCAGTCTGCACACCATGCTGAGGCACAGACTCCCCTTTCCTACAATGCCTCTTTCACCCTTCCTGGCACAGCCCAGTTGTGCAGCTGCCCTTCCTGACTGGACGCACTGCCCACACCAGCCCACCTTGTCCTCTAGGGCCAATGCCACAACCAGTCCCCAGCTCCTTGGCTCCTGAAGGCCAGGCTGATGCTCAAGTGTCCCCAGCAGCCCATTCCCCTCCCGCTTAGGTCAGACTGTCAAGTGTGATCACTTGCACCCTCCACCTCCACAGAAAAGACATGGAGGAGCAGTCCCCACTTGGACACTTAGTGCCAACACCCTTGAAGCCAACAAAGCTGGGGTGGCCCTTTAAACTGATCTGGCACTACTGGCTACAGGAGAGCCCAGCTAGCTCTCCCCATATCCTTGCTCCTCCTGCACATCCAGAAGCGTTTGTGCAAACACCTTTGCAGGGACAGACAGAGCAGTCTGAAGGCTCTCCCACCCTTCCTCCTTGCCCTTCTGGAATAAGGCTGTGGTACTTGCTCAGACAGGAGAAGCAGGACCTTCTGGGGAGCAGGACCTGGCACTGGCAGCATGGCTCCCCCACCCTAGCCCCAGAACACTCCCCAGCAGTCAGAGCCATGTAGTAAACAGTTTAATTAACACACTGACAGCACCAGAGCCAGCCTGAGCTGGACTTTATCCGCTGCTCTGCTTGGCCGCCAGTCTCTTGTCTCTCTCTTCAGCAATGGTCAGGCGGATGCCCTTTCCACGGGGCAAGGAGATCCATGGCTTGTTGCCCTGCAGCAAGGGAGAAGAAATCACTTCACATCAGGAAACCCAGACAACAACACAGCTCTCTCTCTCTAAGGGGGAAAGCAGCACAAGCCCACCCCTGCTCATGCTGGGTCAGGTATACATGGTGATGGCACTGGTGCAGCAGAGGCCCCTAAGGAAGGTGCCAAGGATGCACAGATCTACAGCTGCCTTTCAGTCACATCCATGAAGAATGCTCTTCAGCCAAAACCAAAACACTGTCCCTCCATAACCTCAACAAAGAGCCTTCAGGGATGGCAAAACAGCAGAGGTTTTCTGGGGGGCACTCAGAGTCACAGCAGCTGCTCAGATGACACCAAGTCTGAGCACTGCTCAGCCCCCAGCTCTCAGGTTTCAGGGCTGCTTCTTGAAAACACAGTCATTGCTGAAGTTGCAAATTCTTCTTCCCCTTCGCAGAGCAGGAAAAATACAGGGAGCCGAGTCAGAACTGAGGCCAGCACTGATGTTCCACTGTGTGGGAAGACAGCTGCCCAAGGAAACAGCAAGGCTCTTTGTCTCAGCCAGCAGCCCCTCACAAGAGAGAGCCCCTCTCAAGAGAACCCCCCCACTTGGCGCCTCCACAGCCTTACTTTGCCAATAACGAAGATGTTGGACAGCCGGGTGGCAAAGCTGTTGCCGTTGGCATCCTTCACATGAACCACATCAAATGACCCAGGGTGCCTCTCCCGGTTGGTGATCACCCCAATACGGCCCAAGTTTGCACCGCCGGTCACCATGCACAGGTTACCTGAGTAAGGGAATACAGGTGTGGTAAGAGCTGGCACCACGTGCTGTGAAGTCCTTCCACTTGGCCTCTCTGCCCATTACCAAACATTCCCATCCCACCCGAGCTAGCACTGCTCACAGCTCTGGGACTGAAACCTGTCTCTCATCACCAAAAGACAAGGTGAAGCACCTCTCCACCAGCTCGCTGCTTCTACCTGGCGCCTCAGAACTGCCAAGTCCCTGTGAAACGCTTCCCACTGCAGGAAGAATCCCCTGCTCCACCTCCAGATGGACATGCTCCTGGGAAACAAACCCCTTCTCAAGGTTGGCACCGCTGCCTCTCTACTTCAGTGCAAATATGCCTACCATTTAACTTCGACTGCTCTCCACGGTGGGGAAGGGTACAGTGCTTTAATGTGATGCAAGACCTACCTGTGTCAAACTTAATGAAGTCTGTGATCTTGCCTGTCTCCAAGTCAATCTGGACCGTATCATTCACCTTGATGAGGGGGTCTGGATAGCGGATAGTGCGGGCATCATGAGTGACCAAGTGAGGGATTCCTTTGGTGCCCACAAAGATCTTCCTCACCTTGCACAGCTTGTACTGCAAACAAAACCCAACATCTCTCAGCTGAGGCAGCGAGCAGTACCTTGGACTAGGGAACTCTTGTACTCCAAAGAGCCACCAGCCAGCAGAACACCCAGACACTCAGGGCTTACACATGAGCCCACGGAGTGACCTGTCCAGCTCCCTACCTCAGTAACTACTTTTGAACAGCCGCCAAGCAGCTCTGCTACAGCCCCACTCCAAAACACCTTTGCTGTTGGGAGTAGCAGCCCACCTTGAGCTTCAGCCTCCCCACAAACACTGGCTGCACTTTCACAGCCAAATCTTTACCAGGACAGTTCCCTTATTTTTCCCCAAAGCCTGTGGAACACAACAGAGACAGAGGCTGCATTTCTCCAGGACCGAACAGAGATCTGTCCCCTCAAGGGCACTGATTTCTCTCCTGCCTATCACCCTAACTCCCTCACAGCCTCTCTGGACCTCACAGATCAACACAGAGTAGTCATCAGAGAAGAACATCACAAGGAGAACTACACCACAGTTGGCTCCAGCACAGCCAACTCTGCCATCCACACAGCTGCGTGCCTGCACAGCCTGCCTTAAAGAAGGAGATGCAAACCAGAGAGCAGCATTGCAGCTGAGGAACACCATGCCTGGGTTAAGGGATGCATGAGGAAGTTGCTCCCCAGCATCCGGGTGAGTACGCAGTTTTGTTGCTCTGGGAAGAAGTTCAAGGCTTTTTTGCCACAGACAGTTCCATGTTTCTAGTCACTGTTAGCTGGCAAAGCCAAGACTCCCCTCCACCCCAAAACTCTCTGATGCCAACAGCATCATCTCCGGCACCAGACAACGACCCTACAGCCGTCTGTGAACTACTTCTATGTAACAAGGAGATCTCCCCCCCACACACAGGCTTCACCACAACTCTGAGCGCCCCAATCCCAAGTGCAGCATGGCCTCAACTGTCAGAGAAGAGAGACATCAGCTCTCATTCAGGAGATACCAAAGAGGAAGCACTGCCCCAACCAAACCCAAGTGGGCCCACCCTTACACCACCATCAAAGCTCCTCACCTTGGCCTCCTCAGGTGTGATGCGGTGAACAGCAAACCGGCCCTTGGTATCATACACCAGGCGGAAATGCTCACCTGTCTTCTCAATGCTGATGACATCTGATTGCAGACAGGGAAATATAACAGCAGCTGTTATCAGCTCACTACCCAAGACCCTAACTTAGGATGAAGTTCACGTTTAAAAAGAAACAGAAACTGCTGAACAACACTTAAGGTGTGACTGATGAGGCTGGGATTTACCCTTGAGCAAACACTCACAATCTTTTGCAGGCAACAGATTGCAAATTAGCAAAAACTGCTGAAGGCTGGAATCTGAACAGCAACGTACTCAGGTCAAGCAGGCACTTACAGGCTACAAGTATATGAGTATGGTACTCACTGGAGTGCACAATTCCAAACTAAGCAACCACTGCTTATATTTTCTTTAACTCCAACAGGGAAACCTTACCCCTCAAATAATGCCAGCCCCACAAAACACTCTCCTTCCAGTTGGAAGAGTTGCCTAAGGAATTGCCCCAACCCTACTCACCCATGAAGCCTGCAGGATAGGTGATGTCGGTGCGGACTTTGCCATCTATTTTGATGAACCTCTGCATGCAGATCTTCTTGACCTCATCTCCCGTCAGAGCATACTTCAGCCGGTTACGAAGGAAGATGATAAGGGGAAGGCACTCCCTCAGTTTGTGTGGGCCTGTTGATGGGCGGGGAGCCTGCCGACAGAAAGTTTCTGCTGGAGGCTCAAGCAGCATCAACCACCCCACAGAAGGAAACCATAGCGCCAAGAGCTCCCGCAAGACCACGGAAGGGCAGCGGCACAAAGCGCAGCTGCCACGCAGGCAGCGACTCAGCGACCGGCGGAAGCTCTCTGTTCTTGGTATTCACAGTAGTCTACCTAAGTCCTGCCAGCCTCACAGAGCACAGTCCCCAACAGAGCACAACCATCCATCTCAACTCGGAGGTGGAAAAGCACAATAGACAAATTAAAAGAGAACATCCAACGACCCTATCACATCCTCCGCAAACGCGGGAACACGAACGCTATTCACAAAGACCCTAACGTTAAACAAACACCTCCTGCCGTGTCCAACTGCCCTTGTTCACCGCTCGCCCCCACGCAGCACCCGAACATTTCTCCTGATGTGACTGCGGCTGCCACGACCCCAGGCCCCACCTCCGACCCCAGACTCAACCCCAAACCCACGCCCGACCCCAGCTTTAACCCAAACCAGGCCCGCACTCACGAAGACGCCCGTCAGCTTGTCCAACATCCAGTGCTTAGGTGCAGCCACGCGCTTCAGATGCTTCTTGGGGCCGCGGGCCTACAGGACGGGACGTGTTAAGCGGTGTGTTACGGGCCGCCGCCAGGCCCTGCCCCCCCCCCAGCATCCCTCCCCGGCTCCCTCCAACTCCCGTCCCCCGGACCCAAGCGCCGAGCTCCCTCCCGCGCTTGTAGCGCAGGGAGGGTGGCCACAGCCCGCGGTGAGCGGCGGATGGCGGCGGATGGCGGCGGAGAGCCGCGCCACCGCGCTCTCACCATGGCTGCGCTCTGCCGAGAAAGGGCGGGCGCTTCCGGCCCGCCGCGGAAGTACAAAGCATGGCGGCAATGACACGCGTCTCCCCCTGGCGGCTCGGAGGTCCCGAGCCGCTCGCGAGGCGACAGATCGGGACGGCTCGTCCCTTCCCGGCGACCCCGACGGGGACACCCCGCTCCGGGACACGGCTCTCCGGGACTCCCTGCTCCTAGCCGGGTGTTGTGGTCATCCCGGTCATCGCTGATGGCATAGGACAGCCCGCTACGTTCTGGCCCTGCGGTTTCGGAGAGCCCAGCCAGGGGTAACACACCCGTGTCCGGACCTCTCCCTGCCCACACCTGCCCTCCCACACCCGTGTCTCGCCCCTGCCACGGCCCCTCCCCGGGTAGAGCTGGGACCCCACGCAGCCCCAAACCTGATGCCGGGCCTTAGCGCCCACTACTGAAGGCGGCTCGGGGGTCAAGCGGTCCCAGCTGCCCTCCCCAGGGCGGCAGACGTGTCCCCACAGTGCTCCGGAGTCCCCGGGACAGTCCCAGGCTCCCGCATCCTGCCAGGCAGCCCGGTGAGTGCAACAGCCCCACACCTAGCATGTCTCCACAGCATCGCTCCCGTAGCAGGGTGTGGCTGGGACAGAGGTCCCATTCCCCAGGGTGACTGTCACCGAAAAACGTCGGGATAAATGAAACTCTACGTTTAGATTAGAAAGCAGCATTACTTTATTCAGAGTGCTGGGTGAATAGAGGGAGCTCCACCTATCAAACACACTTACAACTTACACACTTTGCACACTTCCAAAACTTCTCATTATTTATGCACTTTAGCAAAGCAATTAATGTTCATTTGCTATAAAATACATAGTTCTCTTCATTAATTAGTATTTTATCTTCTACTGGTTACAGATTTCTTACTTCTCATGCTCATTAGCCTACGTTTTCAGTCGTTATGATCTGTGAAAAATCTGTTCACTCTCCTGTGAAAAGTTGAAAAGTTTAATAAAGGACACTAAGAGACAAGGACCACAGAGCAAAGGTTATTTCAGCTGGGTGCATCTTGGCACTCCGCCAAGACCACACAGTTATCTTTGGGGATACCACTTAAATACCTTTCATTTACATCAGCCTGTTGCATATTCATAGGCCCTTATGCATAGTAAACTTTTTCCCCAAACTAGTTTACATGTTCCAAGAACTGGTCAGCATGGTTCCTCCTCAGTTCCACCTTTTTAGAGCATGTGTATTCCTTGGTTGGGGTTTTAATCCATTCTTATCATCTGTTTTGGGCCTTGATCCACACTGTCTTCAGACGGTGAGTGCTGATAGTTGGCATATCTGTAGCAGGTCTCCTCATCCTGTGTTCACTGGATGTTATTTCATCCAAGCAGGCATTTTAACACAAGCATAGCTATTTCACTACTATGTCTAAGTTTAATTAACAACAGAAATAAAAACAATATCTTTGTTAGAAAGTTACTTTAACATCACACATATAAATCCATTTTAACATTTGTGAAAAGCCACTATTATAATATGTATCTATAACATTATCTTACTATCTTTTTCCCAGATAAGACAATTACTGAATTGTCTTTGTTAGTTTCTTTATCTCTGGGTCATGCAAAATGTTCTTGCAGACTATAAATTTTGCATTCCGTGAGTCCAGTTTCAGCACTATGTCTTTCCCATGCTTAGTCCAATTAAGTGTATCAAAGTTGGTTTAGCAAAACTTAAAAGTTTTAGTAATTTTCCTGACCTGCATTCCCACAATAGCATTTTACGAAAAACCTTGCTAAGTGCTTGGCTACGGTGGAAAATTACACTGTTCATGATTGATTAAAAGAATTCATTAAAAATTTTAACTAGAAAAGTTGTTAGGAAAGTTGTGTAATTTTCAACAAGGATGGGAACATCATAAGCCGAGAAGACACACTGGAGCTTTGGGGGGCCCACCCTCCTTCCATCAAGGGCTGCTTCACACAATGTCCTTCGCCGAAATGGACAAAGGGCACAGCCGTGGGAACAACGATGCTTCCGGATTTTATTACACGGCGGCTGGAGACCCCTCGCCCGCCGGGCCCACAGCGACGCCGGCGCGTTTTGGGACGGGCAGCGCGGCCGCAGCTCCTCCTCCAGCCCCGTCCCCCACTCGGCCGGGTGCCGAGCGTTCCCCGCTGCCGCTGCGCTGGTGCCCGGGGCGGCCGGGACGCTGCTCACTGGTGGGGTGAGGTAGGAGGCCCCGGCCCCAGCCGCGCTCCGACCGGCAGGTCCGACCGGGAGTCGAGCTCGTGGTGACCAAGCCAGAGCTCCGGCAGCTCGTCCGCCCTGCTGAGGCCAAGCTCCACCACCAGCGACCTGAGCACCTTGTCGGCCGGGTCCGAGTCGATGAGGCCGGGGCCAGCGGCCTGGAGGGGGCGGCTCCCCGCGGCTGCGTCCCCAAGCCCTAGGCGAGCGGCGAGCCGGGCTCCGTGGGGCTCCAGAGTCTCCCCGGGGCGCGGTTCTGGACGTGGAACTTCTGCAGGCACAAGATGGCCCACAAGGCGGTTGGGACCCGCCTTGGGGGGCCACAGGGGCGGGGAGCAGGCGCGGTCCCTACCGCCGGCATCTCTTCGGCCCCGAAAGGGTAGCAGCGCAGGATCGCCACCACGAGAGGCCCTTCGTGCCCCGGGGAGGGGACTGTCAACAGCTCATCTCGGGCGTCCACGAGGACACCGCAGCGCTCAGGGACGCGGGCTGCCCCAGGCGGGTCTGGTACAGCGACGTGCCCGGACAGGGAGGGACTGGAACGGCGCTCCGGCTTGACGGGCACCCCACTCTGGATAGGGGATGTGGGGATTTCCACCCAAGAGGCATCTCACCTAAAAGCCACAACCCTTGACACTTGTGGGGTTTCCTATTGTTTATTTTCCCAACTGTGTTCCTGAAACAGCTCCCACAGCTCTCACAAGGGCAGTCTACCTGCTGTGGGGACAGAGCACATGGGGCCCCGAGGTGGGTCAGAGGCAGCAGTTGGCCAGCTTCTCTGCTCCCTCATTCCTTGCATTTTCCCTGGATGGGCAGTCCCAAATCCTGACATCTCCCCAGGGCACTGGGATCCTTTGCTAGAGCAATGGCAGCAGCAGCTTTCTGCCAGCGGTCACCACACAAGACTGGTCTCGCCACAGCACACCACACCAGGTGCCAGGGGTACATGGAAGCAGGCAAGGGGTCAGGAGTCATGGGAGCCACATCCTGCTGACCTGTCTCCATACCAGATTTCCTGTTGTTTCAATCAGCAGTGAAAAACAACAGAGCAAAAAACAAAGCCAAGGCCAGGCTGGGAACCCCTTTGTCTTGCTGTTTCTTCCAGCATAATCTAATTAAAGCCACAGGAAATATGCTTTCCTCCAGTGACTAGGCATCTTTATAAAAAACAGCACAATAAAAAGTCCATGGGCTGGGAGAATGAGGGGACAAGGGCGACAGAGGCCAGGCTTCATGGCTCCTGGCACTGGGAGGGTTCTGCTGGAGATACCTGTATACCCGTTGCCTTGCTGAGACACCTCGTCCCAGCTCTCATGGGGCACCAGAGCATCTGGAAGTTCATCCAAGATCTCCCAGAAGAGGAGCTGCCACAATGCCCTGCATCGCCCTTGACAGTCTTGAGAGGTCTCCAGGCTCTGGTCCCTCTGTGCAGGACTTCAGGAGCTCACAAATGGCTTTGCAGTAGGTGGGAAGGGGGAGGGGGGGTGTGCTGTGGAAAAGTGCACTGGCAAGACAGGGTGGGTGGAAGAAGAAAGGAAAGAGCTGGAGGAGTATTTCAAGTATTTTATTTTTTAAAAATTCCCAGTTAAAACCACAATGGCTGTGCCTTTCTGTGGGTAAGAAACACAACCAGGGTGGCTCTCAGGCTCTACTTCCCAAGTGGGCAGCTCTGAGGCTGTGGCCCTGCCAAGTAGGTAACACAGCACTGGGCTCCAGCTGGGGAGGGCTCACAGCTCTGAGCAGCTCCTCTCTTAAAATACATTTAAAAGCAGTTGTGAGAACAAACTGTGGTGTTAAAAAAGGAAGGGGAAAGGAGCAAGGGAGGCTCTCCCAGCACTGGACGGCTGTGGCTGGAGGGCCCACACTCCTGCCTGGGAAGAGCCACAGAGCTTGTGGCATGCGGCAGCTTTTCTTCTTTAAAGAGAAAAAAAATTAACCAACCAACAGTACTTTCTTTGAAAGATTCCCTGCAGCCACAAATTTCATCAGTTGTTCACATAAATATGCTGTCTTCCCCACAGGAAATGCTCTTGCCTGAGCCTTCCTTTTCTGCTAAACAACGTGCTTCAGATTCCCTACAAACAAAAGGAAGCAAAAAAGGGTATTTCCACTGATATTTTAGCCTGATGGAATGACCTGGCAAGGGGTGCCACTCCCATGCCTGATGGACTAGACCATGATATGGGAATTCCAGCCTCAGCACAGATCTCAGTTCCTGCTGACCCCTTACTCCCTCTGCAGAGGCTGCTGCCCTCATTTGAGCCAGGCTTTGGAAATTACCACAAGGTGACCTTGCCAATGCTTTCACTATGCTGAATGCTGCTTCAGGATTCGTGGACCAGCATCCGAGATACGCACGCTCACTCCCTGCTGCCTTGTCCTTCTTTCAGGCTGGATTCACAGACAGGAGTGCACAGCCCTGCCCCACCCCTTCCAGCTCTGGAGTGATGCTGTTCCTCCTGCCCTCTTGGACATTTTCCCAGGGAAGGGATGCCCTCTCCCTAGGATTGGCCTGTGCTTGGTAATGGACACCAAGCACAGGCCAATCCTGGACTTCCACAGCCACTGGACTTCCTACCCTACTTCTAACACCAGCACACTGCAGAAAAGGGGTGCCAAGCCCCATCATGCTGCTCTGAGCCCCTCTTGCAGAGAGAGACAAGACAGATGGGTAAGGGCATTGAATGAGTTTCAGTGCTGGAGCTGGCAGAGCTCACCGAGCTGCCTGTCCTGGACTTGAAGAGCTTCAAGTCCTGCCTGCTGGAGACCTGTTCCAGTTCCAGAAAGCTATTTCCCACAG